TATATATGTACATTACCATTGATGTATTATAATGGTGTGTGTGTGAAATATTTTATTATATAACAAATACTACATTTACTAAATATTGTTTATTTTTTCTTCAAATATATATAATATATTTTTGTTAATTATATTTTTTTTTATATAATAAAATATATAAATAATTATATAATAATATAATTTTAATATATAGTATATTTTATATAATTTTTTTTTTTTATCTTATTACGTATATGATTTATTCTCCATAAAATGATATATAAAATATTACAAAATTGTATTATATGAAATTAAAAAACAATACAATAAGGTTATGTTACATTTTGATGGATTAAAATAAATTAGATTTGAATAAACTATCATAGATAAATAATATATATTAAAACAATCAACGACATGTTAATAATATTATCTATGTTTTCACAAAGATTCCTTTTACCCACATTTAATTTGTGATCTAGGTAACAAATCGGTAGCAGAGTAAAGTAGAGGTAGGGAAGGTAGTTAAAGCATTGGTTCTATGTTAGTTGCTTTCGTAGAAGTAGCAAGCAAGCAAGCACACAATGGGAATTCCAAACGAGCTTACAGGATTCCTGTCGAGGATATACACATGAGAGATGATGTATCCTATGGCAGAGTCTCCTATCATGCGTTCGTTCGTGCATTTACACTTAAGCAAGTGTTGGGGTATAGAGAATCCATGTATATATATCATGTGTGTATATGTGTCTCTATCTATTCTGTCTGTCTGTCCGTCTTCATCGTCATCCATCTCTCAGTCATCATCATCATCGTCCTTCTAACGATGAGAAGGATGTAACATATGAGAGCTCAGTTATCTTCTATCTCCAGGCACCTTTGCTAAGCATTAAGCGTCAATCAGACTAGATTAAGTTCGATGAGCATTTATATGTTAACGAGGTGTCGATCAAATGTATATAACCGTCTATCATTCCTTTTCTCTTCCTACTACCTGAAGGATTTGCTTATTAGGTTCCTGAAGGATTTACATTATTAAACATCTATTTGTTTTTTTTTTGTGTTTTTATTTTATGTCGACTTATCACTCATGTTGGTAGTTTAATCTTTTTCTTTTCTTTCCTCCCACCACACTCTACAATAAGAGATTCCTATTTGTAAGGAGGGATGGGAGTGATGAGTAGTAATTTATGGAATTTTTTGATAAATTATTTTTGTACTTTTATACTAATATTATTTATAATCACATTTTTATTAGAGGATTCTTTTCTTTCCCCCCACCACACTCTACAATACAAGGTTGCTATTTGTAGGGAGGGGTGGGGATGATCAGTATTTATTTATGGGATATTTAATACATTATTTTTGTACTTTTACTAATAATAATGTAAATAGTAATTTACTAATATTATTTATAATCACATTTTTATTAGAGGATTTAATTTTTGTTGTTTTTTTTATATGAATTTTATTATTTTGAATTTTATTATTATAATTTTGTTATTTTTAATTTATTATAATWATTATTATTTTATGTTTTTTTTTTTAGATACGTGGATGCTTCACCTTCATGGGCAAAACAATTACAAGCCGATCTTCCGTCAGGTACAACCGTTGTCACTTTTACTGCTTGGTCACCTGTATCCAATTTTACGAGCACCTGTAGAATCGTTATACGTGTTCGAGGTAAGTTAGTGTGAAAAATATTCAAACATACAACATACACACACATTATCTATTATTTAGAGATAACTTAATCAACATTTACAATTAACAATAAATATGTAGATATTTTAACATATGTTTCTATTCTATATACATATATCAACGTACGAGTATGTAAAATACTATTGACTCGTATATTTGAGTCCAGATACCATTATATAGACATCACTATAGTATCATATAGTCCTTTCGATTCGATTTCAATCACTTAATGCTTCTCTCGTATTCACCCTTATCGCATTTTGAATAATACTCTTTTCATACATAACATATCTATCTACATAATATAATATATCGTGTGTATAACATACCTAACGTGTCTGATCATATTTTTTTTTTTTTTTTTAACAAAAAAAAAGTTCGAATACAAATAAGATTCGTGTCAGTCGAGTTATCAACGAAGAGACAGATATTGTATATTTTACTTTACATTTTATAATATTATTACTTTGACATGAGATTAACGATAATCTTGATCGTGTTGAATTAAAATACGATTTTATAATTGAAATTGATCGATCTAATCTATTATAAGAAGATTAAGTTGTAAATTGTATGTATCTGTATATGATTGTATCATTTTATTATTTATTACTTTCTGTTATAATACAAAACATGACAAATAATTTCAATATGGGTCAAAAGTTGTTTGTTAATGACAACAAAAATTATTTAATCATTTTCTAGTTGAATTATAATATTAAAAGTTTCCAAAATTATTTGAATTGATTATAATAATTTTTTTAAATTTTAATGATAAATTTTAAACCCATCTTGGGATATACAGGGTGATTAATAAGTTAATTGACACCAACAACAATTATTCATTACTTAGAAGTAGTAGTTTGAAATTTATACGAAGTTGTATTAAAAAATATAAATTATTATTTCTATCAATTAACATTTGTAAAATTAAAATTTCTCAATGATAATAAATATCAATCAGTTTAAAAATTATTTTAATTAATCAAATAAATAAAAAAAAAACAACAAAAATCATATGACTTATACCTAAAAAAAAAATCATTTCAATTATTCAAATAATGAAACAACAAAAATCATGCGACTCACAATTACACAAAAATATAATTCAATTATCTAAAATTGTATGGTAGAAAAGAAAAATAATAAAAGAAAAAGAAATCAAAAGAAAACAAAAAAAAAAAAAAAGAAAAAAAAAGAGAAATATGAAGAAAGGAAGAAAAAGAGGGAAAAGGTAGTTGTCATCGAGAGTCGCCTAAATTCGACGTAACTATGTCACGTCGTTAGAGGATCTGAGCGTGTACGAAATATGAAATAAAGGTCTCTCAGGAGAAACGCGATAGCTTCGTAAACCCCTCCTTGATGGGGGGAAGGGAAGGGAAGGGAAGAGAAAGGTGGGGAGGGAGGGGGTTGAACTGCGCATAAATATGCCGTACGTACGTCGTGTGTTCTATGTCGTTCTCTTTCTGAACTTCTACATTTCCTCCTCATTTCCCGACCTGGCCATCTACGCGATCCTACAAAACGGATGAAAGAGATAAAAAAAAAAAAAAAATAGAAAAAAAAACAGATAAAGAAGAAATCTATGAAAGAAAGAGAAAAAGAAAGAGAAAAATAAAAAAAAAAAAAACAAATGTGTGTTACAAGCAAATAAGACGAAGATCAAAAATAAAAGAAAAAAAAAAACAAATTTACATATTTCAACATATGTTTCGAATCAATGTGTATGTATTTTTTTTTTTCCAATTCGAAGGAATAAAAAAAAACACAAAATGTGTGTTAGGGGTAAATAAAATGAATAAAATAAAAATTAAAAAAAAAGAAAATGTAAGATTGAAAATGGATAGAGAACGAAGTTATTATTATTATGATTACTATTATTATTATTATTATTATTATGATTATTATGTGTTATTTTAACATTCGTCCTGGGTCAGATTTATGATCGATACCGCATTGTCATGAGATAATAATACACAGTATCACTGTCCGAATGTTTCCGGTTCGTGTAACGTATTGCGACGTGCAGCATGCATATCACACAGGGTCCTATGTGTTTCCGCGTTTTTCATCGCATAAATCTAACCTATGGGGGTGTGGGTGGGAGGATTCTCTTTCTGTCTGTACCTTTCTCTTTTTTTTTCCCCCTGTCTAGTTCTTGATCTATCTCTCTCTTTCTCTTTCACGAACTTACGTTTCTCATATTCCTTTTATATATTCAGTTGTACGATAATAATACCTGACCTATGTTCGACCAATGCAGTTCAGTTTTCAAGAGAAAAGGTTGTAGATCTCTCTTCAAATGAAATGACAGAATGACTTCTTCCTTTTCTAGGATTTTTCTTTTATTTTTTTTTTTTTTTTAATCTTTGATCTATATCCTTCCCTCTTTCATTGTTTCCACGTGTGGGTGTGTTTTCAAAAGAGATAAATGGTCACATCTCTAACCTTGGGTATTTTTCAAACGGATAAATTCACCTAATGAGATATTTGATATCATTTTCTCTTTTTTCTTCTTCTTTTTATTCATTCGTGATTTATTATTTAAATGATTTAGATATGTGTGTGTGGGTGTGTATGTGTTGTTTTTTTTCATATATCGTTTTGACGCAAATAAAATTATTTTTGTTAAGTAGATTTGAAGTAGATTTGAAATTATATTAGATACTTGATTTATTCTATTCTATATTGTTTTTCATATTTATTTATTTATTAATAATAAATAATAAAATAAAATAATATTAATTTACTATTTATATTCTATATTCCTTTTTTTTTATATTTAATTATGAAAGTATATTCATAACTCTATATTTTATTATACTTCATTTGTTTTATTTTATATTCTATTTTAATGTTTAATAATTGAACTATTAATAATTCTTTATTTTATTAGATATTGTTTGATATTTTTCTGGCATCAAAAAAATGCTGTAATAGTGAGGGGTATGAAATACAAGTTAACGAGATTCTTAATCTATATTTTTTGTAACGATGATAAATTATTGAAATACTAGACCTACATTCTTTAATAAGAATACCTTTAAAACTTGTTAATAAAAAAAAAAAAAAAAAAATATTCTCAAGTGATATAATTAATGAAATCCCAAAAGGAAAGACAAATATTTGTTTATCTTATAAATAAAATATAATAATTGAAATATGAAAAACACCTTTCACAAATACAAAATATTCAACGAGTCTATATAATAAAATTACTTCAACATTAAAAAACAAAAAAATAAGAAGATTATTATATTATTGTTTAAAATTAAAAAGTCAACGAGATGAATGAATAAAAATTCTATTTAAAATTCACAAAAAAAGAAAAAAAAGAAAAAATAAGTAGGAAAAGATCGAAGAGAAAATGATTAAAACGTTGAATTTTAGGGATTGGTGATTTTTAGGGACTAACGAAGGGAAAGCAATTGAACGATATCGTGCGGTAAAAGAAGTTTTTTAGTTCCATTCGTGCGTCATTTGGGAAAAAAAAAAGGGGAAACGAAGAGAGACTCAGAATTGAAAATCGGAAAGGTTAAAAGTTTAAAGAAGGAAAGGAAGGGAAAGGAATAGAGTAGGGAAAAGGGATAGGGTTTGGAGTAGAGTATTCGATACGCCTTCAAAAGAAAACTTTTTCTCTTGCATTAGGTGGACCAATGTACTCTTCTACTTTTACTTCTACTTTCGTTTTAAGATGATAGGGAGAAAAAAATGATTGAAAAAAGAAAATCGGCCAACCATACCAATTGCTCTTTCAAGAAAATATATATATATATGTATGTATATATGTATATACATGATCGAACTTTCGATTCCTACCAATAAATTGCACTTATACTATGAAACTTTGCTTAATTACTCGTTCGAAAAGTTTAGCAAGTTTTGTTTCAAACTACTCTTTACTTTTCATCGTCATCGTATATGCCAAAGGAAATGAAATAATTTGAACCCTTTGAATGCTATGAGTTTACCCATATATACATACATATACATATATATATATATATATATATATATAATATAAATGCAAATAATGTAATATTGTTTTTGAGTGTTGATTATTGTTTTCAAACTTGTCACATATCGAAATTATTTTTTAAAATATAAACTTTTTAATTATTAAATATAATTTATATTTAATATATAATTATATATTAAATATTTATATAATATATATATTTTTTTTAATTTATTTTATTTAATTTTAAGTTATTAAACGTAGAGATAGATCTTTTATATTTTGTAGAAACATAAAATAAAATGATACTACACTTTACTAAGTAATCGTGAATTTTTTCAAGACTATTTTGAAAGGGTCATTTTTATAATCTTCGACACATTTTTTCAACCTTAAGACTTTATTAATCTCGTTAAAGATAAACCCAACATTCTCGTTAGTTTCTTAAAAAAACTCATTACGGTTAATATTTATCATTATGGTTTTTTTTTGTTATACTTAAAAGAAAAATTTTCATACTACATTTTACGTACTCAGTGTATGTATGTGTGTGTGTGTATTATTTTTTGTAACTGACAATTAAAAAACATTTAATAAATTTGTTAATCAAATTTCCATATGAATATGATAAAATGATCAATTATGTGTGTGTGTGTATGTGTTTATAGATTATAGAATGTGTTATATATGTGTACATATGTAAACACATATGTTAATATATTGATAGGTATGTATATTAAAACTCGCATCATTTAATGTTGATTTACAGACACTGAGAATCCTAAAGTCTCGACCTGCCCAACATCCTTTGAGGTACGTTTAAGTCCAGGTGAACCAAATCGTTTGATATTCTGGCAGGAACCGACATTCACTGACAACGTTGGAGTTGAACGAATTTACAAAACAAGAGTAAGTGATAACAACATTATTTTTTTTCAATGATAATATAATAAATAGTAAAATAAATAATAGATAATATAAATTTATTAAGATTAAAATCATTTTACAATGATCATTTATTTACAAAAAATTAATTAAAATTATTCAAAATATACAATTATTGAAATATGAAATGATAATTATTTTATAATTTTAATTTATAGTATGTATATACATATA